AGAGAGAGAGAGAGTGTGTGTGTGTGTGTGTGTGTGTTTGATTGTACTTTAAATATTTTCACAGCTTCAGTTATTTAAATAATAACACAATATAGAAAATACTGCTGTGCTTCAATATCGCGGGGCAATTAATATTTGTTTAAGAATAAATTCCTAATCAACACTTTTATAATCAAAGTGAAGATTCTTGTGAAAATTCCATTCTGCACAATAATTCTAAGAGACATTCTAAGAAATATTCTCATTCAGGGTGAATAGCACTATTATATAGATAATATCTTTTTTTTCGTAATTTATAATTCACGAGGTAATATAATGAAGGGCCCTTACAGTCTTGTCGCCTAGATTGCGAACTCGGCACGTGAGGTATGCAGTTTTTCCAATCAGGGCCGTCACGTTGGTGTTCTGCGTGTGGTCGAAGGTGGGTTCCGGTTTCGACTTCGGACCGGAAGAATGATCCAGCATTTGTTGCCGAGGTCTGGTCTGGATCGCGTGTCTGTCCATGTTATCTATCGCCCGATCTCCTAGACTCAACGTATCTGTAACAAGAGAGAAATTTGCTGATTGAGTATTCAGAAGTCATAGTGCACGCCGAATGATTAATGTTATATGCGACTCGCGACAAAACGAAAATATAAATTGTACCCTTTCATCGCATGCTTGTATAGCGTATGTTTGATGAAGCTTAAAGCTACATCGAGACTCTATTTCATTTTATTTGAGTATCGTATTTTTCTTAAACAGCGAGAAATTCATTTGATGGTCATTTTTTATTACTCCCGAAAATTGCAGTTTGAACTAGAACATGAACTATGTCAACCTCTGTGTTGGTTAATTTCCTATTTACAGATTACCCTTAAATCCCGTGGCCAAACAAGGGATTAGCGAAATTTGCGATTAATTAAAATTTGTAATGGCAGCCATTAAATGTATAACAAAGCACCAATGTGCAACGAAATATTTGCAAATACTTTTGGAAATATGCCACATTGTGGATACCGTGTGTTTTCGAAATTAATGGCTGAAACTCTAATAAAAGCTAGTCAATGTTCTTGCAACTTGAAAACCGTTTTTTTTTTCATCGATTTCGATTATTTCAATATTTGCAGAAGGTAAAGTATAAAAAGAGACGGTTTAATGTGTGAGCAAATCGATCGGAGTGTTTCTCGGAATAGAAAATGATTGGTATTTCACTCGACAAATCGAGACTTTTAATTCCGTCTGTTCGCTATAGGTGCAGTCGACATTACTGCAATCGGTATAAAAATGAGGATATTCTAACTTACAATTCTGAAATTGTAATGCAATGTAAGTATTGCTGATGTTTGAAATTGTGAATGGCTAAGCTATTAACCGTAGTAATTGCATAAATAACATTGATTTTAAATAATACATGTGAATTTTCAATAATAATAAAAGTTACTACATTCGTACATGCTTATGTTAAGAGATCTTAAGCAGTACACGAAGAGAGTTCATGGAAAGTTGTATCATTGTAAGATATATCTCTCAGTAAATTAAAAGTAAAATTTAAAAAAAAAATTAAAAATAAAATTACAGCAAGAGAAATGTGCTCGAGATACATTTAAAACTTGGAAAGACTCTACATGCTGACAACGATTACGATTTTGATTTACTTGTAATTTAAATCGACGAAACATAATTAATTGCCGAGCAAATTTAATGAGATTATTTGAGATCTGTGACGTCGGTATAGCTATGCTCAGATGCTGCAAAATGGTCCGTAGCACCCGTGCACTTTGTGCACTGCAAGTTGTTGAGTTAGAAATGCACTCAGGAACGGTCGATATATGTCTCGAAGTAGCAGAAGTGTTTGCTTAGTGTTTGAAACTAACTCCACTGCATATTCCGGATTTAATGGCGAAAGGTATAACCATTGCTATCATACAAATTCCACGTTAGAATATTTAATTCGCTCCTTTTCATACCTTTTGTTTTAACAGTAGCAATCTGAGGTATCTCTTAATTATGACAAAATAAACAAATGGACGGCAAGTAAACCCTAAAAATGTTATCTCTGCGAATTTTAATGTTCTTAGTATTCTATCGTCGCGTCAGGAGGCTAACGAATCTGAATATCCAATAATTTAAAATGACTTTCCAGCGAGCAAGATTCGAAATAGCCGAGGACGATCAGGACGATGACGCGAAAGCACACGATCGGCTGCGCCTTTTCAATGCGCGGATAGACGGAGGTAGTTCCAACAGCCAAGTGCATACAAAGTATCTATAGTTGAGTAATCAGAGAACTGTAATAGCTGCGGGATGTATCTATAGCCGGAGGAAGATTGGATGGAATTAGATTAGATCAGAGCTCATTACGCCTCAGCTTAAGAGTGAATTAGATAGAGAATGGGTTGTACGGGTAAAGGACTCCGCTTCCGGTTAAGATAAATCTTTCTTCATTGTTTTTCTTATAATACATCACGTTGATGATAATGGAGACTGCCATCTTGAAGACAATGGCCGATGAGCCGCAATGTAGTAGTATCTTGTCTCTCGGGACGTTGAGTGCTGAACTTTAAGACACCGATATAGCTCTTCAGCTTTGGCATCTTCACAAGATCTGATATGGACCGTATTAAAAAGGAGCGCGTTCCTTCATACTTGAAACTATCTCGGATAATTTGCAGTGTACTCGTTCTTATTATATAAATTAGAATAGATGATTATTCTTTACTTTTTTAGCCTTTGTACTGTCAAATAAATATTTTAAATCGCCTTGCAACAGGTTGAACAAAAGGACTTTGTTAACATTAAAACTATGCTCTAAACATATTTCGAAATAGACACTATTTTAGTTTTATTACCATTTTATTTATTACTTGTTTTGCATTTTAGAAGCTTCGTCACAGAGGTCTATATATTTTAGTTATTTGCAAGTCGAAAATACAACTATCGAAATCACGGTCGTCTGTTTCGGATATCAATGAGGGTGATGGAGCACACTCGCGATTGTAAATACGTACACTTCGTGAACGAAACAGATCACTGCGCTCTCCATTTTAATTTCGACGATGAAATCGCCGAAGCTTTGTTTCTCGCGAGACAGCAGAAGAGAGGGAAGGGGAGTCAAGTTGTTAGTTTGATGTCAACGCATCCAAATGGAAACGGTAGATTGTAACCCCTCTAATTAACGAGGACATATCGCAGCAAGCGAGCAAAAGCTGATAGTCTACGTGGAAAACTTTGCACTTCATTAGCTTTCCACCGAGATACGCCTCAGGTGCGGCAGTCTCATGCTCCAACAATGTGATATCCGTACAGCCAAGTGTCTGTGTGTGTGTGTGTGCGTGCGTGTGTGTGGGGGTGGAGGGGGTGGGGATGCTCTCTCGAATCTCGATATACGAAGACAGCCGTGATGATATATAAGGGGCGAGTTCTGGGAAAGCCAAAGAGAAGGACTCCCTGGAGTGCATGGAAAAGCTCGTTATAAGCTCTTCGGTCTTAGTTGCCGCTACGAAATTAATTAAAGCAAGTGCTCGCTCAGGCGGGCGCGAGATATCAAGAAAATGTCCTTTTGTTGGTTGCATAGCGAATCCCGTGTGCGGCATCATTCGCGAGAGATAATGAGCGACGGGCGCGGGATGTATTCTTACGAATGCCAAAGTGCACTTAAGACCGTCGGGAAAAGGGGACAGGGACGGAAAGATTATTAAGATAAAGATTAAGTTTCCCTCTACGCTATAACTTGGGCTAAGACGCTGTTCGGTGTTTGGTTATATCTTGCTCGTCGCCATTGTACCGCCGCGTGTATAGCACGGCGATACAGTACAACGGCATAATATACGCCGCTTGCGTGTTTCTCGTGAAATATACCGTGTCGAACACTGTATAGGACCGCTGTTCAAATTTCATTAATTTATACACTTCACGTTATATTTACGTTATTGTACGAATTATAATTATACGCTTGATAGAATATAGTTCGTTTCGGTCCTCGTATATTTTTTATAAGGATACTAATAATAATTTTGGGATACTAAAAAAAGGATACTAAAAGTACTTAAAAAATTTGCAACTGTGTATGAAACAATAAACGATATTAATCCTAGACAAAAATGTCTCGAGGCTAACGTTTTTTATTGTAGCAACTGTCGGCTCGCTTGACGAAAGTGCGACGCACCTGCGAGGGAGAAGCGAAAGATAACAGAGATTACGTTCGACACAGAAGAAACACATTCCGCGAAGCGAGATTGTTCGCGAATGGATTTGAAGTATAACTCGGATAATTTTCATCGATTTATTGACGGTTAGCCGCTGAGCAAATTGCGGGCCATTCGTTTTCAGGGAGCTGAGAAAAAAGCTGGATTTGTCGGCGGGTTCATGCCGGCGTATCCTTCTTTTTTTTTCAGAGCGCCTCCCAGTAATTGCATCTTCTGTCACTCGGCGTCATTTGACATGGGTGGCTACTCTTGTTATTACGGCCGCGCCCTAAGTCATAGATTTACGACAGGTGCAATAGAATAACTCTCCGCGCCACGGTTGAAGCCTTATGGGAAAAAGAAGATTAGAAAAAGGCGCGACGTCGTTAAAGTTAGCTCCGAATTTTTCAAACCTGCCATTCTTATTAATCATTTAGACGTTCCATGCCACTTCCGCGCCGGTTTGCACCACGAATGAAGAAAGGGACCCACGATTCATAGATTGAACAGAGAGGAAAGTTACGAACTTTATATATTTATTAATCCTTTGTACCTTTCCTCGAAGATTAAAATTTCACAAATAATAGACATTTATTGATTACATATCTTCGTTTTATACAACTTGAAGTAAATTTAATATCTCAAGAAAAAACCATGGTATAGAGATAAATCAATCATGGGGGTAGATCAATCATGGAGAGATATTGACGAAAAACAATATAGATAGATTTCCAGCGAGAATTCTCACTGAGACGGTAGAAACATCAATTTTAGTAGGCAGGTTTTTTGTGAGACTTGGACTCGCTGGAGATTAACAAATGCGGTTTTGTTTTCAACGCAAAGCTTCTCGCGGTTCTTTTTAAGCGACGGTACGCCATATCGAGAAATGGGCTTACGAAAAGGTTTCGCGGATAATCATTTTCGCCCGTTCTCTTTTCATTTGCTGCTAATTTAGGTATCGTGTGTAATTTAGCGTGTTATTGTAACAGGCCCTTCGTCCAGCAGCAGCGGATGCCGGAATTCATTACGCTGGGAAATGGTTCGCGAAGCGGCCGCGGGAAAGAATGGCATAGAGTTATTGATACGAAAGTACCGATAGATATATTGTAACAGCTGCAGCAACCGCAGCCGTATCATAAAACGCCGATGATGGAGGAGGAATAACGATACCTCCAGCGGGCACATATTTCTCGCGTTACTAACGTATCGATCGTCACAAAATAATCTTCGCAGCCGCGCCTTTTTCCAGGAAATCCAAGTCGGACGAAAAATCACTTTTCGCGCCGAGATGTTCGATTGCGTTGCTGCACGTGACCCCGAAGGATTTGCACGCGAATCGCATCGGCGCTTTTGGATTAAGGTATTTAAACGAG